CTTGGTTTCCCTGTCATAACATTATAAAATAGACACTTGAAGGGAGAGAAAGGAATAGCCAGAAATATCACCATAGAAAGCTTGTAAGTCCGTCTTCTGCCTATAACTGATTGGAATACCTAAAATGGGGCTCCAATGTGCCCAGTGAAGGAAGTTTCCTACAGAGTCTCTGTATTACATAAGACTATAGGTGGAATCCTGAAAAGCATACAGAATCTTTAGGGGTGGGAAATTTCCACTTGAAAGGACAAGCAGACCAGCCTGGAGCAGCAAGAACAATTGAAGATACTTCTTGAAAGAAAGACCAACAGGAAAAATACAAAACAATATAGGCAGAGTGACTGATTACTACAAAAACAAGCAAGTCGCTCACCCAGGAGACATCAAGGCAAGTGATCGGGACCCCTCAGGGCAAACCCCCTTCCAAGACTAAGACTCAATGGGAATACATGAGCAGACATGCTCTCTGACTGGTGACCACGTTCATCACCAATAAGGGGAAGTGAAGGAAAAACACCAATGAAGCTGTGAGTTAAGCCCTAAAACGTTCAATAGACTCCTGTGAACCCAGGTGGAGACCTGGTGGGCCAGCAGTGTGGCAAGACCTGGGGACTCTTGGCCCCAGACTCAGTGACATAGCCACAGAAGACTAGAATGGAGAGTGAAGCATCCAGCTGATAAGAAGAGAGGGCATATGCATAAGAACACCCACACTTGCAGGTAATACTCACTTGACCTGATATCAATGGCTAGATGATCAGAGCTCAACTAGAAGAAGAAAGAAGCAGAAAAAAAGAGTAATCTGATACAATTTGATGAACTTGACCTACACCTATGGATACAGTAGCTGAAAAGAGGGAACAAATCTTTATAGTGAGGATCATTCCCACCCTCTCCATACACAACATAGATAGGGATGGGCAACTTGGACATTGGCTACCCAAAATGGAGGAGCTATAAAGGCAAGAAGTGACTAGCTTACAAGCTTTCAAGAGGGAGCCTAGATCCAGAGGGCAAGGACAAAGGTAGAATCTCCACTGAGTAGTATCCAATGTGTCTAGGCATGGCTGATGAAAGGAAATGCAGATAGGTCTCTTGTGATACAATAGTGAATAATTGTTATCAGGACCGAGTGTGAGGGTTGTAAATGTAAATGTAAATGTAGACATTTTGTAGCAAAAACAGAGGAGTGACTATCTTTGCAGTCTAGGAGCAGAGGATGATGCATGAAGGGGATTGTAAACATGGCAATGAAACGATATATTATAGGATGGATGTAAAGTGAATGTTCTCCCATTAAACTATCACATAATTCACAATAAAACATGGAAGAAAAAAAAAGATAATGGAGTCTTTGCAGAAGACGGGGTCGCAGCCACCGGTTGCCTCATTCGGCCACTCCTACGCCTGACTCACCGCTGTGCTCTCTTGCCGAGGAACAAGTCGGTTAGGAAACCGCGCAGCCAAGCCTTTTTTTTTAAATGCTTTATTGTGAATTATGCGATAGTTTACATGGGAGGACATCAGCTTCCTGTCCCCTGGTCATCCGCATACCGCCCATCTCTCTCTCCAGGTCCAAAGTCTAGGATACCGGAAAGACGCCCATGGAACCAGAGGTGGCCATTCACCGGATTAGAATTACTCTAACCAGCCGAAACGTGAAGTCTCTGGAGAAAGTGTGTGCTGACTTGATTAGAGGTGCAAAGGACAAGAACCTGAAAGTGATGAACCCAGTTTGGATGCCTACCAAGACTCTGAGAATCACAACAAGGAAGATTCCTTGTGGTGAAGGTTCTAAAACCTGGGGCCACTTCAAGATGAGAATCCACAAGCAACTCAATGACTTGCTTAGTCCTTCTGAGATTGTTAAGCAAATCACTTCCATCAGTATTGAGCCTGGAGTAGACGTTGAAGTCACCATTGCAGATGCTTGAGTCAACTATTTTAATAAATTGAGTATCCATTGGTTAAAAAAAAATAATAATAAGATAACGGATTTTCCATGGACTTTTTTGAAGCCCCCTTCTATGTGCATAAAGAACCCTGATAACATAGCAGATTAGGAGTTGAGCTCTTAACTACAAAGTCACCAGTTTGCATCTACCAGATGCTCCAAGGGAGAAAGATGAGGCTTTCTGTTCCAGTAAAGATTTACACCCTCGGAAACCCTATACGGGGTCACTATGAGTCAGAACCAACTAGATGGCACACAACTGCGTATATATGAAAAAGACAGGATTAGCTACTTCCATAAAGATTTACAGCCTGGGAAACTGGAAGAGACAAGTCTATTCTGTATTATAGGTTTGTTATGAGTCAAAATTTACGTAATGGTAAGGGTATATATATATATATATATATATATATATATATACACACACACACACAAAAAAAAAAGGAGTCCTGGTGTGGTGCTCTAGGATAAGCACTGACTGTTAACCACAAGTTTCGAGGTTCAAATCTACCAGCTGCTTCTTAGAAGCATATACAGGGTCACTATGAGTCAGAACAATGGCACTTAACAATAGCAACAACATACACACATAGATATAAAGATATATATATAGTAGAGTTCTGGGGTAGCACTTTAGGATCAGCACTGGACTGTAATCCTAAAGTCAGTGGTTCAAACCCACCAGTCATTTCTGGAAACCTTATACAGGGTTGTTATGAGTAGCAACCAACTTGACAACACCTAACAGCAACAAGAATAGATATATTTTAGATTCGTATCCAAATATCTTATTTGACTGTGGAACATTGAAACCTTTTCCTTCTGTGACTGAGAATAAGACAAGAATGCTGCTCTTACCACTATTAGTCAGCCTCACACTGGAGGAGGTAATTAGCATGGCTAAAAAAAAAAAAGAAAAAGAACAGAAAATAAAAGAAAAATGGTTGTTTGCATATGTGACTCTAGAAAGAAAAAAAAAAAATCTACTGATAAATCATTAGAATCAATAAGAGCCTTTAGCAAAATTATTAGATACAAAATGTACGAAAATCATTTGCCTTTCTTTCTCTGCCTGGCACAAACAATAAAAAATAAAAAATTGTTTAAATATGAACATCAAATGATATAAAATAACTTAGAATAAATCTAGCAAAATACAAACCTAATAAAAAACGTCTGTGAAGAGTCTTTTAAAACATTATTGAGAGACATAAAAAAAAAGAAAAAATCTAAGTGAATGACTAGAAATACCAAATTACTGGATTAAAAATCTAAATTACCTATTGGTATTGGAAAAAACAGCAGCATAGCCTCTAGCAAGGGGAGGGGGTTATTAGGGTGAGTAAGAGATTCTCGGGGATCTCAGCTGTCTACAAGTCAGGGTTCTGTTGGTGACACCCTGCAATCTGGGGCCTCATAGGTAAAGAGCAAGACTTTCTGGTACTCAAGGCAGGGAATCTACCAAGGCTGCCTACAGAGCTGGAGCCAAGCTCAACCTGAGTAAAGGGGCTTACAGGTGAGTGCGGGGTCTTCATAGAATAAGCACTGGACTGTAAACAACAAGGTTGGCAGTTTGAATCCACCAGTGGATCCAAGGGAGAAAGATGACGCTTTCTGGTCCTGTAAAGATTTAAAGGTTTGGCAACACTATACAGGGTCGCTATGACTCAGAACCAACTCGATGGCACTTAACGTCAGCAACAAACAAAACTATAGCTTATTTACGCCAATAGAGTCCCAAGAGACCTCATAAATCAGATTTCTAAAAGTAAAGAGACCCCCTGGCTTTCAAGAAACTTCACTTTATATATGAAGAAAATTTAGAGACCAAAAATTACCTTCTTGAGTTTCTACTGGTTCATGGCCACATGAGGTCAGAGCGCAGGCTCTCTGCCTCCAAGAGCCTTGTACAGCTTGTCAGCCTCCTCCCTCTGCAGTCCTGTACCCCCAGCCTCTCCACCTGTGGGACCCTCTGCACCTTCCCACCCAGCTCTCCACATAGCACCCATGTACTGGTTAGACTTATGAGTCCAATTTCTTCAGAATCTGCTAACTGCCTGACAAACTAATGGAATGATTTACAACACACTGTAAGTGATTAAACATGTTAAATCTAATGAAAATGAATTATTTTCAAAAAGAGTCTTCAACCCTTTAGGCAAGCATTCACCAAAGAAGGTTTGTACGTGATAGTTTGTCTAGTAATGGAGGAGGGGAAGAGAAATTTTCTGGAATTCTTAATTCTTACTACTTCTACTTCTTACTACTTCCAGCAAAAAAGATGCTGTCTTCACCTGCCCCTCAGCCTTTCTCCCACCACCCCTACTTGGTGTGAACAGACAAAGTTGGGAAAGTTGTGCTGTTTCTGATAATGTAGATAGCGGGGCAGACATCCTGAGGAAGGACTGAGAGGAATCATCTTTGGAAGCAATGATCTCTGACAAGAAATTGTATCCTGGAAGGAGTTTTGGGTCTGAGGAGAGAAGACATTCATAGAGGCCTGGACTGGAGACAATGGATGTGCTATCCAGAGAGGTAGGAGGAGACCTCTGGCTGTGGGTGGTGGTCCACTGGGTCCCCAGATGGATTAAGCTGCCACTGATCATCTGCACTTATTTCCCTTGTGTTACCTAGGAGCCTGCTTATAGTCAAGTCTTGGTTAAATATTCCTTCCTATTGCCAGCTGCTTCCCACAGGGAAATAAACGAAGAGCTTAGGTAATCAGGATTTAGAAGGAAGATTGCACTCCATGAGGTGAGGTTGTTGTGGTGATGGTAGCAGTGCTTTGTCAAGCTTCTCTTAGGGAAAGCTGAACCTCAGAAGACATGAGCCTAGTCACCCCAGTCACCCCACCCCTTACAGAGCATCTCCTCCCACTGTGAACCTGCCCTGCCCTGCTTGGTTCTGCCTTGCCTGGGCAGCAGGCCTTGCTTTTCCTTTGGGCCAGTGCAGCATGGCTGAGAGATTCTCTGTTTATCACTTAAGCTTCTGTTGAGTCAGATTTCACTTATAGTGACCTCATGTTTGCAGAGTAGAACTGTGCTTCATAGGGTTTTCAAAAGAACATGTCCAGGTCTTTCTTGCAAGGTGCCTCTGGGAAGTCTCAATCCTTCAACCTTTCAATAAATAGCTGGGCTTGTTAACTGCTTGTACCACCTAAGGAGTCCTAGGAAACTGTGTTTCCCTAGTAAGCAGTAGGAAAATGGAAATGTCCAGTCAGTTCAATACTGTACCAGAAGAATGCTTTTTTCAGCAAGACAGATGGGGTTTATAAAGATCTCATTTCCAAATATATCTCAAAGGGTATTTGAGACAACTGCTGGTGGCTCCACAGGACACAGATGTGGAAGCAGGGGGCGAGAACTGTCTAAACAGCCAACCTCTCTCTGCGGCCTAATTTGTCACTCTCAGGTCAGAGAGCAAGTGTGGGCATGTTCCGATTTAGTCTCTGCCTTGTCACTTTGCAAAGGAGAGAATTTCCAAGTCTGTGTTGTCTATAGCTGTGTGCTGCATTGCTCTCATTCAGTTTATGGAAGAAAGACAGCCAAGGTAAGACTCCCTGAAGAACAGAGGGTAAGCCGAGCTTCCTGATTACAGGTAACAACAAACAACCAACTCAGGTGTGAACCTAGGGCCTTTCAGAGCTTAGGTCGGTTCAGAAAGACAGGCTTTCCTTTTATAGACTCAGATTCTAGACTCTAGGGGCTAATAGACTGGAATGTAATCCAGTCTCAAGACTCAACATGTAATCAACGTTACAAAAGAAGAAATCATCTTTGTCTGCCAGTTTTAATTAAATGGTAGAAAAATAATGATTAAATAGAGCCCAGGACAGACAGCTTCTTAAAATACCAAGGAGAGCAGCCACATGCTATTTGGAGGTGGGTTACTGCTGTCACTGCAGAGACAAAGGCATATCAGATGTGGTTCTGTTATGATCCTACATCTTCTGCCAGAAATTACAATGCAACATTAGGATTTCAGTCCTACATTGTTCCTGAAAGCACTGTCTTTCTTTCCACATGCATCCATAAAGTAAGGTTTTAGGAAAATGAAATGGTTGAAAGAGAGGTCTTATAAATCTAGGAATTACCAAAACGGATATATCTTTTTGAAAACTGTAACTGTAGTTTTGCTTTAAAACAAAACAAATAACAGTTGCTAGTTGCCTTTGAATTGACTCTCACTCATTGTTGTTGTCATTAGGTGCCATCGAGTCAGTAATGATTCATAGTGACCTTATGCACAGTAGAACAAAACACTGCCCGATCCTGGGCCATCCTCACTACTGTTGCCACGCTTGGATGCTGCCACTTGGCCAATCTATCTCGCTGGGGTCTTCCTCTTTTTCTCTGACCCTTACCAAACATGATATTCTTCTCCAGTGACTGCTCCCTCCTGACAGTATGTCCAAAGTATGAGAGATGAAGTTTGGCCATCCTGGTCTCCAAGGAGCACTCTGGCTGCACTTCTTCCAACACAGATCTGTTGGTTCTTTTGGCAGCTCATGGCACTTTCAATATTTTCCTCCAACACCACAACTCAAATGCATCAATTCTTCTACGGTCTTCCTTATTCACTGTCCAGCTTTTGCATGCATATGAGGTTATTGAAAATACCATGGGTTGGGTCAGGAACACCTTATTCTTCAAGCGGACTTCTTTGTTCTGCAACACTTTAAAAAAGTCTGTGCAGCAGACTTGCCTAATGCAATACGTCATCTGATCTCTTGACTGCTGCTTCCGCGAGTGTTGATAGTTGATCCAAGAAGAATGAAGTCCTTGACAAC